TTCAAAATTTTTCTGTATTTAAAGTATTTCTCTTTTCATAACAAATTATTACATTATTATTATTTGGTTAAATGAGTTTTAATTATTTAATTAGTTTAAAAAAAATAATGATTGCGTTTTTGAAAGATTCCATTTTAATCACAAATATTGGGTACAATAGCCTATATACAGTATATATATATATATATATATATATATATAAGTGTTCATTTTGTAAATAATAATTAAAGTATATGGTATTTATTAAAGTATTTCTCTTTTCATAACAAATTATTACATTATTATTATTTGGTTAAATGAGTATTAATTATTTAATTAATTTTTAAAAAGTAATGAATGGATTTCTGAAAGATTCTATTTTAATCACAAATATTGTGTACAATATTATATATATATATATATATTTTAATAAAATAGTATTTAAAATATGTAAATGTTAACAACACACTAACCAGATAATATCATAATAATATATATTTAATAATAATTAATAATTATTAATTATTTTATATTACTTTTATATCACTATTATTAAATAGTAATATATTTAATAATTATTTATATATAATATAATAATATATTAAAATAGTAAAATATTACTAATTATTTAATGCATTTAAATTATTTGATTATTAAATAAAAAATTAAACAACATTTAATTTTTAAAATAATCTAATTTTAATCACATACTAATATAACATTTAATTTTTTCGAATTATTACTCTTATTATAATTTAAGTACTTCAATTAATACGTTTGTGTATTACATTTAAACAATATACATTTATTTAGTATAAATATTTATCTTAATTTTTCTTCACAGTTTGTTGCAATGCATTTTGGGATTGCTTTCTCCTATAAACACTGGCTTTGAGCTTGGCCGGAAACATATTTTAAAAGGCAGCATAATTTCGTTTTGGAATATAGAGTAGGCAGCTCACTATATTTTGTTCAGACCTACAATTAGAGGCACAAACTGTACCGTTGTGATATTTGACAGACACGTGTGATCAAAAGTCTCGGTGCAGACAGTGAACTGAAAGGAAGCCATTAAGTGCACATTCAGACAAACAAAGACCCCCGTTCCTCTTGGCTCATGTCCCCCGCATCTGACAACAATAAGACACTAAATACTGTAGTTCTGTTGTTTTTGTTGTTTTCTCTTTGCTCTTCCTCTCCCTCATCTCTTCCTGCCTTTCACTGCCTCCCTCGTGCTCATTATAGACATTTTTCTCTCTAATTGATCTTCTCTTCTTTTTTGTGTTTCTGTCTGCTGTAACATCTAATGGTCAGCTGTACTCTCAGTATCAATACTGTGGCTTCAACAATACAGTCTCTCTCTCTTTTTTGTCCAACATAAATGTATCCACCTTTTTGTCACCCTCCTACTCACTGTCTATTTTCTCTTTGCCACATAAATCCTCCCGTCACCCCGTCACAACATCTGTGCTCTTTCATCATTGGGCTGATGGCTGGTTTGCTGAGAGATGCATCTTTGATGTTAAGGGATCTAGTATGCTCTTCGTTTGTGTCTTTCACATTAGCAGACATATTCCTGGACTAATACAAGAACACAAGATGTGAACAAGAAACAAACCTAGACAGAAAAAAGTGCTAAATTAAAAGTGATAATGAGCATTACACATCAAAATAATAATAACAATAGTCATCACAATATTGATAGTCATTATGCTTCTTCTGTTATATAACTTCATTTTGTGATGTATGTCATCTCCTTGATTTTTTTTTTTTTTTTTTTTTTGCATTTTAACTTTATTTTCAGGACAACATTGGCACATTTAACCTTCAATTCTTATTGTAAAAAATAAAAGCGTAATTTTTACGGTAAAAAAACGGCAGCTGTGGTTGCCAGAACTTTACCGTCAAAACTGCGGTAGCAACGTTATTGGTTTTACAGACTTAACTTAAATTTTACAGTAATGATCCATATTTCATAATCTGATGTTAATTTACCAACCTATTGAAGAATCTGTTTTGTACCATTGTAATACAGTGACAACCAACAATCATCACAACAGTGATGAGTCACATGATCAATCAAAGGTCATCCCAAGTCTTCCACAAGAAGATTAATAGCTTTATAAAGAAGATGCATAGTGTCGTTCACACAAACATTAAACACCATCATGTTAACAAACATGAAATTTGAAAAATGCAATAAACACTAATTTAACAACATTAAATGTAACATAAAACCTTAATGTACATAACTGTTTAGAAAAAAAAACAAGAAAACTATGAGGAACTATAGTTATTTCAACAAAAATACATAAAATGTAAAGTGTCACACAGGGAATTGTGGGAATGTCAATTTACGGGTTTTCACTATAAATTATACAATGAGTTGTTCTTTTTCACTTTCAAAAACTGTAAATTTAATGGTATTTTACAGTAAAATTACATTAAATGTACAATGAGATCTGTCACAGTTATTTACCATATAGTATGTGAATTTTCTGTTAACCAATTAACAATTTTGCACTGTAGTATTTTAGTAGTCTTTTACCATTTTTTTTACTGTAATACGGTTTTACTGTACTATTTCTTTTACTGTAATACGATACAATAAAATGCCTGCAATACAGACCGTAAAAAATAATCAGGATTTTAACAGTAAAAGACTGTAAAAATGCTACAGTGCAAATCTGTTAATTGGTTAACAGAAAGTTTCCGTACTATATACGGTAAATAACTGTGATAGATCTCATGGTACATTTAATGTAATTTTACTGTAAAATAATGTTAAATTTACCATTTTTGAAAGTGAAAAAAGAACAACTCATTGTATAATTTACAGTGAAAAAACATAAACTGACATTCCCACAATTCCTAGTGTGACGCTATACACATTTTATGTATTTTTGTTGAAATAACTAGTTTTGTGTTAGCATTAACTAGATTTTCGGGAAAAAGAAAATCCCCCGGGTCAATATGACCCGAACACACGTCTTAATTAAAGGTAGTACAATAAATGCGTTCATTTAAAATGTACATATGAATCTACAAAACTCAGTATTTCCCCCCGGGAGGATTCATTTTCAGACGCCCAGCAAGGTTTCTGTGTTTTCAGATAAACCTGCTTCCTTGGATCATTTTTCAATTAGTTAACCTGAAGAGCTCAGTTTAGAAACAAGGACATGGCACAGTCATGCTGTGTATAGTCTAATCTCTGGCAATGTTCACTAACACACTTTGGTTCATTACGCTCAGTGTGGCACCTGTCGGGTGACAGTCTCAAGAAGACGATTCAATATAACCACCACATCGACTCGAGGCTGATCGATAGCGTGGTCTCCAAGTCCTTCCTGGTGTCATATCGAGGCCAGTGAAAGCTGCGCCGTCTCCCGGATCGATACAGACTCAACTCCATTTAAACACCTTTTTTCAACCCGCCGTCACAGTGTGATTCAGCCATTTGTGGAAATGAAATGACTTCTAGCATAGGGGGCACCTTGTTCAACATAAAGAATGGTCAACCGCTTCGATCCATCAGAGTGAAATATTGTGTCGTAAGGAGAGCTTAATGACAGGCCCTTAAAAGGAAATCTGAAGCTAAATGTGAAGTGCTATTCAATAGATGTATTCACTGTCTAGAGAGAGACGTTTACTTTGTAGTATCCATTACCCTGACACTGGACTTATAGGTCTTCTGTGATTCTTATTGGCAAACGCCTTTTAAAACTAAATATATTTTAGCTTTACCTTTTCTCCATTAAATTAAGTTGCACACATTAGGGGGCAACTTTCTCAGAGTGATTCTTTACTATTCAATCTTGTGTAATATAATCTATTCTAAATTAGATAACATGTTTGTAGAGTGATTGATATATAGGTGTTTAGACATTAAGATCCATTTCATTAAGATGAGTTCGGACAGGTCACAGGATTCATGGCCATGGCTATGTTTCACATAATATGCAAAATAGTGCTTGGCTCCCTCCAGTGGTGAACTATCAATTTTGTGAGGTTAGTCTGCCCTCTTGTGGAAAAACAAGTGAATAATTCTTTAAGAATAAGATCATATGTTAGGTCTTTGGCATTGACACTGTAAAAAATATTTTCAAGATTTGTTAAAACAACATATTTTCTTTTGTCAAATCAACTTTATAATAATTTATTTAGTTGAGATAACTTATTATTTTGAGTTTCTGATGGTTAAATGAATCTCCTTAGTTGTATTAACACACTTTTTCCAGTTCAATCAACTTAAAATTTTAAGGCAACCCAGGTTACTTACTTTTTAAGTTAAACCAACAATATTTTTTACAGTATAGTAATCACAACATGTTTTCTTTTGTCAAATCAACTTAAATAGTTTATTTAGTTCCGATAACATATAATTTTGCGTTTCTGGTGGTTAAATTAATGTCCTTTATTGTATTAACTCACTTTTTCCAGTTCAATGAACTTAAAATTTTAAGGCAATCAGGTTACTTACTTTTTAAAGTTAAACCATCAATATTTTACAGTGTATACATATATTTAACTTAAAAAAAGTAAGTATCCTGGTTGCCTTAAAATTTTAAGTTGATTGAACTGGAAAAAGTGAGTTTTCATACAATGAAGGAGATTAATTTAATCATCAGAAACTCAAAATAATAAGTTATATCAACTTAATAAATTATTTAAGTTGATTTGACAAAAGAAAAAATGTTGTGATAACAAATCTTGAAAATATTTTTTTACAGTGTACAAGCTGCTATTATCTACATAAAGAAAAAAATGTTTTATCTCCCCCTTTTTTTAAATAAATGTTTTTTTTATGGTATTTGTCGCCAACAAGACTATCTAAATTCTTAAGAGTCCATATGTCTAAATTTCACATTCCACATCTGTGTGGGTGCACGCTTTTTAAAACAAACCAGGGAGCATGAACTTTGACAAAACAAACGCAATATGCAAGTTTTGTCACTCTGCTATAAAATATTCAGGTAACATAACCAACGTACGAACGCACCTCATCAGACACCATGCAGAAATGACATTGAAAGAGAAGCATAAACTTTTAATGGACACATGCAAAACACATTCTTCAGTATGTAATTATTTCATCCAGTTAGCTGAAGAGAAATTAGATTTAGCTTTAAAACAAATTAGAAACATTTTAAGCATTTCATCAAGAACCAATATTTGGAGCACACAATGTGATGTTTAGTACACAAAGTCTATATTTCTATCAAACTGAATGTTTAATCTGTACGCAGTTAATCTTACATGACATATGAGACCTCAGTCATCAAGAAAAGACATTCCAGACATTCCAATCTCTGACTGGAAGGCACTGTCCAAAAGAGTGGGAGAAGTCACTTCTGAAGTCACACCTGCAGTTTATACAAAGTATACAATGACCGTTAAACAACTGAAAGTGGGTGATCTTCCATAAGATCAACTTATGGAAAGAATGACAATATTACATAATATCACTTGCTCGCAATGTCATCACTCACCTCCACAAACTCTTGGTCTCTTCCGACCAATTCGATCAACTGTGTACCACAAATAATTTTTTATTTCAGCTTCACAGTCTGCCCTCATTACACTGTGTTTTGATGCAGCTTCTGAAAGAGTAAACCCGAAGAATGAATTGGAAACATGTTGGATGGTAGTCCTTCAAACTCACAACCGCTCTACTTTAAAGATGAAATGGGCAGACATCACAGAGTTCACCAAGTGATTGAATGACAAAACATAAGTAAATAAAAACTCTCAGTATGTTTGAAGTGTTCATTGACTTTACCTCTGATTACATCTGCTAAAATAAGCTTGGAGAAGGGCTTTTTATCTCCTCTCCCCTGCCAGTTGAACTCCTTAGCCAGATCATCTGTTAGGACTTGCTGCATAATATTCTTAATCACATCCTTGGGCCCAAAACCTCCAAGCCTTGACAGGAATTTTACCTGTAAAGAAAATACTAAATGTTTTTTTAAAGTCAAACACATCATTGAGTGTTCAAATATTTTGTTTAATGAGCACAAAACTGTATATAGAATATGGTTCATTTTCACCATCTTGCATCAAGATGAACAAGAACCAGAGCTGTGTGAAAGAGATCTTGAAATAGTTATCTGACTGTGTTATGCTAATCAAACAAAAGAGATTAATTATATTGCAGATTAATAGTCTTCATAGTCTGCGCCATTCCGTCTTCGTCTGCACTACACTTCCCAGAATCCTCCTTGTCTCCACACCTGAACTCCATCCCTCTATTAAAGCAGCGCTCAGTAAGACTGGAAACTTCTTTGCTGTTTTCTCGCAGGTTTCTCTCTCGAGCTCCCCCTACAGTTTCGGAGTATATATATATATGAGAAAACTGTCGTAAACTCGTTGTCAACTCCTCCTCCCATCTCGTTCAGGCAGGCCATGTGCATTTGTTTTCAGAGAAGCCGGCGAACAAACGGATTTTGTCCCCACCATTTTTGAAACATCTCGCGGCACAGATGTACCAATGCAAATAAAACATCTCCAGTTAACAGCATTCGTTTCATTTGTTTGTAAAATAACAGGCGATCTAGCACTGAAATGTGTTGGCTTCTCTCAGAAACGCGCTTCAATCCGTTGCGGAGATTCTTTCCGGTGAAATCACAAATCAAAATGCACACAAACGTGTCCCTTTTTCTCATGGTTTCTAATTCCTCTCTCGTATATTTTTCCCCACTCATCAAAACATATAAAACCACTGATAAACATTATATCAATTCAACCACTGATAAACATTATTGGTTTTGATGAGGGGGAAATAAAAACTATTCGAGTGCGGAATTCTACCTCTGGACGGACCATCACTGTACATATCAAGGGCGAATATTTTCTATATACCCACTATACTCGGACATTGTGCTCATTTTTATTTATGTGCATCAGGAAGCTACAGGACATCGTCTTTCAAAACATTACCTACTCGAAAGAGAAAAAAAGAATGAATGCGTTATTATACCCAGCACTTTTGAAAATGCCCTTCCGAATGCGTCTCTGTCCCCAGCACATTTCAAACAAAACTGACGCCCGAGCCATGTCCACTGAGGTATGTATGATTCTCAGAACAATATTATTCAAATGTTGAGATAGTGTATATTTTTATTGTGTTACCAAACGTTATCAGTAACATTATGGTTAAAAATCAATAATACTATAAGAAATATTTCCGCTATTTATTTATTTTTAGTTTAGCCTACAGCTATAGCTACTTTGATTATGCATTATCAAAATACATGTTACGTTACATTCTTATATCATTTTTTCTGGTGATCCGAGTTGTCTATCGTAACGATTGACCAAAGAAAGTCAAACACGTTTAATTTGTTTATTACAAGATTGTTTATTTTATTATTGAAGCTTGAGACCGGTGGTACTGGTGGTCTGGGGTGCCTCGGAGTTGATAACACTTGCCAACGCTTGTAGCTAAAAAGGAAAAAGAAAATGTATCAATTTTTTTATCAACATATCATTTATACACAAGGTCAAACTAGCACAGATGGAGTTGCATGTGTGAAGTTGCAATGCAATTTCTCGTTTACTTATAGTTCTGTTTGTGTAAATGTGGGTAAATAAATATTAAAAAGTTGCATTATTAGCTAGCTGCTCTCGTGTCGGTTTATGCATTATATATCAAGTCAGCAGCACAGTATAACGTTACTAATTCTGAGGCTGACGACAAGCTAAACTAATGCATAATTTGTAGAATTTCATATCGATTTATAGGCGATCTGAGAAACACAAATAAACCCTGCTAGAGGAACGGACAAAACACTTACTTACAGAAAACAAGTTTGTTTGCTAATGAAAATGCTAACATCTAACGCACTAGTAAGCCGGTAACAGACAGCGAGCATAATAATAAAAAAAAAAAACAGACAATAGCAAACATCCCGACTCCCGAGGTCACAATTACAAGAAATAGAAACATTAAACACAGTTTATTATAAAGATACTTACAAGTGCAACAGCAAGAAGGCCAGGTCAGCATCGGTTTTGCAGGCTTCACTTTCTTTCAGTTCTCTCTATTCTGAAAAAGCCGGTCCGTTTTCTCTTTCTTTGTTCCTCTGATAAACACTTCCGAGCTTTCTTCTTCTTCTTTTACATCAGCCATCACGAAAACGTGAAGAATTCAATATCTAGCGTTACCTTTTTCTTATAGCTAGCCGGCTCCTGGATGGATGGGGACGTGTACGCATGCGTGTGCGCGTATAGTGCCGTAAAGCAATTCGTTACCTCGCGAGACCTGAAATCTCACGATACTTCCTAACACTGAGGCCGGCGAGCCGCCGGCCTAAAGTTGCAAGGGTGGTTTTGCGGCTTACAGGCACCAGGGGGGTGCGAGATGATCACCATTCAACACGAAATCAGTAATATTAACATTACAATGACTCCAAAGCTGTTCAGTTAAGGTAAAAAAAGTTACTTAGTTCTGCTTTAACCACCTGTTCATTCATCATCCGTTTCACCTGTCCTCACCACGTTATTGTTCATAAGCCTCTGTATTTAAGTACCTTCTGCCCAGTTATGTTGCGTTCCAGGCAGGTTTTTGAGAACGCAAATCACGATTTCAAACCACGATTTCAAACCACGACTCACGACTTTGTAGCATTTCAGGCCGGTCACGCCAAACTACCTGAGCACAAGGAATTGTGGTAAGATGTAAACAAACCAGCAAGGACGGACCTAACTAGATGTAAACAAACCAGCATGGCGGACCTTACGGGGATATGTACATTTGTAATAATTTCTGTCGCCAAAGGTGCTCAGGCTACTCCTTGTTTATTTGAGGAAAACTACGGAGGAAAAAGGGCGCATCAGGCAAGATAAGCTGTTATACCTTTTATTTTACTATATTTGTAAATGTTGGTATTAATTTATCCTTGCACTCAATGGACTGAGAACTAGTTAACGTTATATTGTCCTAAAGTGTTTTCTCACCGTGTACCACCTGCAGAAACACTGCATCCGCAGGGGCTGCCATTCACTGTAAAAAAATATTTTCATGATTTGTAATCGCAACATTTTTTTCTTTTGTCAAATCAACTTAAAGGGCACCTATTATGCCCCTTTTTACAAGATTTAATATTGGTCTCGGGTGTCCCCAGAATGTATTTGTGAAGATTCAGTTTAAAATACCCCACAGTTCATTTATTATAAACATTTGAATATGTCATTTTTGGGGCCTGTTTAAAAATGACCTGTTTTGGTCTATACGACCTTAAATGCAAATGAGCTGCATTTGGATGAGGGCATAACTTGATACCTGTGGCAGTTGGTTAGCTGAAGGGCTGAGAGTGAGAGACCTGCAGTTTTTGAATCGGAATATACAAATAGTCTCTGATCAGAACCAGATGACGAAGAGACTTCGGAAGAATAAACACAAATGAGAATGGACCAGTACGTCTCGGTATGGTTGTAATCGCGTCCCCTTTGAAATGATGGATGTGCAACACACACACAGACACACACAAACACTAACGTTGGTGCATTTTTTTGAAACTACATACACATTCTGTGATAAAGTTTGCTACGTACAAGCGAAATTACATTTATGCGAGCGACCTGTTGCGTCATGTTTACTTGTCATACAGGTGCTTCTGTGGCAAATGTGAGGAGATGGTTAACTTACAGAACAAGAACAAATATGCAGTTTTTAATACAATATCTTTAAAACTATATATATTTATAAACGTCTGGTAACACACTATACAAACAAGGTTTAAATTATATACACAGACATCCTACGACGGCAACAACTTTAGACACATTTGTCGTTGAATTGGCTGACATCGACTGAAATGACTATTTGCTCAAAAATCATAAAATACACTTATTAGAGGTGACGTTAGATCCCGAACAGTAGATGACGATCTACACTTGAGGATTAACTTTTAAACCACAACAACAGGATTAACCCACGACAGAATATTTATGTTTCCAAGAGACATTACCGGCTGTCATTGAAACAATGGAGGATGGTGTACAGATCACAGAGGGTGGGGTCTATGCCACAACCACTCTGTCAATCAAACCCCTTGCTCAATTCTACATCACAAAGCGCTGAATCTTAGAACAGCTCGTTCTGAGACAGTGCTTATGATTTATTGAGATTGTAAAAAAAAAACACTGGGTGGATTTTTATCTTTCTAGGTGGTTTTGCTCACACACTGCCAACACAAATTTATGTTCAAACACCATGTAAAAGTGAATTTCCCATAATAGGTGCCCTTTAAATAATTGATATAGTTCAGATAACATAATATTTTGAGTTTCTGATGATTAAATCAATCTCCTTCATTGTATTAAGTCAATTTTTCCATTTCAATGAACTTAAAATTTAAAGGCAGCCAGGTTACTTATTTTTTTAAGTTAAACCAACAATATTTTTTCGTTTTGTATAGTTTTGCGGGCTATGTGACGCCAGAGCTCGTAACTGTGAGTACATTGATCTAGTACGAGTTCAAAGGGGGGAAGTCACAGGTTTGACTGCCGTTATACAGTACACTTTTAAGGGAATAAGGTTGGAAAAACACAGGTTACAGGTTGCCTGGAACGCGGCATTGTCGTGTCGGTTCTTGTTAATGTTACTTGGTGTTTTGGGTGTGTACCCGCCGCCTGCCTGTACTTGTTTGTTTTTTTGGATTTATTAGTAAATGTTTGAATTGGAGCCTTTTGACTCTGTCTCTCCTTCAACCTGCACAACATATGTAACAATATCTGCATTATTATTATAACACCATATTTAATATCCATTTATAAAGTAGCCGTGGAATAAGCAGGATCATTAGGCTATTACAAAATAAACACCTTACAGGTGTGGTAGGTCAGAGTGTAAGTTATCCCTTTCTTGAAATGCTGTGTTGACTCACATATTTTTGGCGTTTGGCTGCATTACTGAGCTCCTTTTCAATCTTGTTCACATCTTCAATGGTTCTAAGAGGCAGATTAAGGCTTGTTTTAACATCTCTAGTGGGTAAGCTGGTACTGCTGCTGGGGGCTTCAGAAGACGGATTGTCTTTCAGTAGTTTCTTTAACATAGAAGAGTTTTCCTGAACTGTGCTCTTGATGTCTTTCAGCATTTGGAGGAGATCATTCTTGCCTGTTGTGTAAAATGAATTGTGCTGTAATTACAAAAAAAAAAAAAAAAACTTCTCAAACTGATTACAAAATAATCTGACTCACCATCAGCTGGTTTTCTGGGTGAAGATGGTGTTGGAAAAACTGGGTTTTTTGACATGTCTTGAATGCTTTGTTTTCTTAGTATGCCAGGGAATCCAGGAGGTAATAGATTACATCTTTATTTGAAAATAAACAATATTTTAACGAAAAAGTACAAATTAATTATTTGACATTTAATAGGTCAAATCCTTTAAACAAATGTTGCTTTGGAAACAAAGTGCAAGTATCTGTTACTTACTGTTCTTTCTTTTCTGTAATCTCTTTTTGCCCCTCTGTTGCCTCATTAAAAAACCCTGCAATAAAATAATTATATTATTTGAGAATTTATAAAAATCTAAAATGTAAACAATTATTTTAAAGTAGTGACCATTACCATAATCTTTGTGAAAGCTAATATTTATTTTCTCCCATGTTTTTCCTCCTGTTTCAGGTTTAAGTCTGTTCTTAACAGCTTCCATGTACTTCTCCGTTGATTTGAATGGGGGCCAGTAACTTTGTTTCTTGTCTGAGGTCAACCAGTTTGATGCGACCACCATCACCTCATCTGAGTCTTGCAAGGTAACAACCGCATACATGATCTGTCTAGTGAAGGGGGAAATAATTATGTTTAGCTTGGATTCAAAAATAATATGCTTAATTTTCAGCCCGTTCTCATCCTTTAACGTCATATAGAACGCTATATGCAAAAACGGCACTATACTACGTACATGGCACCCTTTATCGTTAATATAACACGCGAACCCAAGACGTCATAAATCCTTTAGCGTGAATATGACGCGCAGACCCTACCCCACCCCTAAACTTAGCCCTCACAGCGCGTGTTATATTAACGATAACGGGTGCCATGTGCGTAGTATAGCGCCGTTTTTGCATATAGCGTTCTATATGACGTTAAAGGATGAGAATGCGTTGCAAATTTTATAGTAAGTTGAAAAGCTGACCAAACAAATTATTTTAAAGTTATGCAATTCTGACAAAATTCACAGAAACAACCAATTCACAAGTATTTTTCCCACTTTGGTTGGACCTTTGCACAAATTATGCCACAAGTTAAATACTGAATGCAAGACATATGTATGTTATTAATAACAAATGAGATCTTGGTCATCTTCAAGATCCTCACCTTCCATCACCCTCCATCAAAATGTCTTTTTTCTCATTAAAATCCCGCTCTTCATACACTCTCCTATTGCTGTTGTCCGGTTTAGACCAACTGGCTTCTGAATCCTCTTCTGTGTTGTGTGAAAGCGTTTCCTCCTCCCTTTTATTCCATTCCTCATCATTAGACTCATTTCCCAAACACTTTAATTTTTTATCATCAACATTTCCTTTGGATAATTCCTTAATGTAATACATTTCATTAGCTGTGTTCCTCACTGCAGCTATTACTTTCTGAAGGTCCTCAGGTTGGATGCAAAGAATAACACTTTGTTTAAAAACGAGAATATGTTTCTGTTGTAAACTCCCAGCTATTGCGGAAGCAAAGCATTTCAGAGCCAGTGTAATAAGAACTGGGGTCAAAGGGCAGCCCTGATCCAGCAGTTTGTCTCTCTCAGCTGAAGCGTCTACAGATTCGGTGTCTGCTTCTGGTGCATCTCTGAGAAGGTTTTTCACAATGAGGAAATCTTGATACAGAGTCGGGTTTGACCGTTTTTGCTCTTCTATTTCATCCTTAATACAAGACAACCTCATCCCAGCGCAGAAGGTTTTGGGAGCGATCATGACAAAAGCTGATTTTTTTGGTACAAGACCCTTTGACTGAGACTCCAAGAAATCATCTAGACATTTTGTCAGAATAGTTGCAATGATGAGGTAGTCAACATTAAAAAAGTGTTGACTATCATCATGTGGACTCTTCACAGTTTCATTAAAGTGTGTCTCAGAGCAGTTAAACGCACCACTGTGGATTCTGTCATAGAGCATCTTAATGTATGGAATTAGATCCTGAATGTTGTCTTTATAGAAGGAAACTGGGATGCCGTCTGGTCTCGGTGTGTCGGACACTTGAAGAGAATGTACAGCTGATATAATGTCAACCTCACTGACTGCATGTGAGCTTTCTTTGCCCAGTGATGAACCAGTCTCATCTGTCAAAAGATCCCTTTTTAGATCCAGCCATTGGGAAATTGATTGTATCTGTGGATCTTTCTGAAAAATGGTTGTGGAAACATTGTTGATCTCCAAGTACACAGGACAATGGTCACCCATCTTTGAGTCTCTGATTTCACATCTTCTGACCCGCCACATACATTCTTCTGGAACAAAAAAGTGATCCAGCCTGGACGCAACTTGACTGTGGAATGTGTACTCCTGCTTTACAGGGTTCTTTCTTCTCCAGACATCAAATAGCTGAAGAGATTTCATGAACTTATTCACACAACAGCGCAGCTTTCTGTGGTTTGAGTGGTCTCCTTTTGAATTGTCTTTGTCGATAAATGGATTGAAAACCGTGTTGAAATCTCCACCAATCACCAGCAGCCCTGTGGTCCTTGACTGCAGGTAATGTGACAGTTTATCAAGGATTTTTACATCATTGTGATGGTTATAAACACTAACCAGAGTGTACAGCTGACCTTCCAGTTTACATTTCAACACAACATAAGCTCCACAGTTATCTTTTTCATCACTTATACATTCAAAATCTAGTCTTCTCCTGATGAGTATGGCTGTTCCCTTTCGGGAGGTAAACTTTGTGTAGAAAACATGCCACTCATTTTTTAGACCTTCTATAATATGTTCATCTCCTTCTCCAATATGTGTCTCTTGGAAGAAAACAACGTCCGCATTTTGTAGTTTTTGAAATTTCTCATCTCTATTTCGTTTAAGTCCATTAACATTCCAGGTGACAAAATGTATTGTCTGTGAAGCCATCGACAGATCTGCTCTCACAAAAGGTCCCTGTCAAAACAAAGGGTGATGGAAGGTAGGTAGAGGTAAGGATTTTTTTTTTCTTAAGAAAATTACTGAGACTACCTTTTTAAACATTGTGACGTCCAAAGATATATATTCTCTGTTAACTATTGTTAATTTTCTCATTGGTTTAGCAACAGTGTTGTCTGACAAGACAGGTTATACCTGTTTCTCCCACAACTGACACCATGTGTCAAGATTCTGACTCAACCCAGCCTGGTCTCATTATACTTATATTATCACGTAATATTATCATGTAATATATTTACAGGGACAGAACATATATATATATATATATATATATATATATATATATATTAGGGCTGTCAAACGATTAATCGCATCCAAAATAAAAGTATTTAAGAAAAAAATATTTATATAAAATATTTATATTTATATATAATATAAATTATATAGAAATCTGTATATATACATGAAAATATTTCTTAAATATATATACAAGCATGTGTGTCTATTTATATAGATAAAATAATTATACACAGTGCACTCACATATATTATGTAAACACAAACTTTTATTTTGGATGTGATTAATCGTGATTAATTGTTTGACAGCCCTAATATATATATATATATATATATATATATATTGCATGTACAATATGGACATTTTGACAACATTAAACACGTAAAAATAATTACAGCCATAAGTATTTAACATAAGACATTTACAAATCTTTAATAATATAATTTATATTGGTATCATTTTTTTAATTTATATCAAACCATTAACCATTAACCTTTATGCCTTGACATAACCACTTTTATAGAGAAAAAAATAAATAAATAAAACGCAATGGCACAAAAAAGTCCAATGAGCACTTTACACACTGTGCACACACATCCTGTAGATTGGTGTCTTCACCATTTTGCAAATGTAATATGCAAAAAATGACAATGCAATATGTAAAATGGTATTGCATTCTGTATTTAAATGTACACTTTGCATTACCATTCTAGCAACGTTTGGTGCAAAATGAAAATAAAATTACATAATTTACATTTGCCATTTCATACACTAGTTTTAATATGCATATGTTTAAATGTTATTTTTTTTTATTGCATTTACACTCACAGTAAAGACACTTGCGATTGCGTTTTCATGAAATATCCCGCAATGAATGTAGCAAAATTCAATGTGCACATTGAAAATGCATTCCAAGCCAACCCCCTCCTGTCCTGTCAATCACTGCATCAAGGCGGGGCTCGGCAACAGGTAAACATGTTATGGCTTTGTTTTGCTCCAAATGTTGCTGGTAATGTAAAATGTACATTTAAATACAGAATGCATTACCATTTTACATATTGCATTGTAATTTTGCATATTACATTTCAAACTGAATATTGCCACATGCTTCCATTAGTAAATTGAGCATTGACACAAGTAATGTAACAAATAACGCAGGAAAAAAAATATATTGCACCATGTGCACAAATGTTGTGATAATGTGTTTCAATAGTGATTATAAAAGGTTTAGGCTCAAACCTTTAGAGCTCTCAGGAGTGGAAGATCTTTTGAGGAGAGAGAGAGAAAACAAGCATGCGGAAGCCAGCTAAGACCACATCCTCTGATTACAGCTCACAAATAACATACATATTTATGATCATTTCATGTTTTTAGTGTATTTTATGGTGATTGTCCCACAATAAATATTACATGAAGTAGTGGTTAAACAATTAAAGAAACGTTATTTATTTTTAGTGTTTTCTATCCTGCATGTATCCCGCATTTAGTGTCTGTCCAAATACACAAGTCATTTTACGAGTGGTAGAACCACACTTTATGTAAAATATTTAGAGATTCTAAATAGTATTATTAATAATTATTATAAATAATAATTTTAATGGTGACATTTAAATGGCTTTTTAATGATTGCCTTTCTTGCTTTGTCAAATGTTTCTTGGATAAATTAAACATCAATACTATTTTGTATTTCTTTAGAATTGTAAAAAATTTTATTTTTAATTTTAGTCAACTTTAAGCATCATGATAATTTTAAGGAAAAGTTACCTTATGTCTACAGATAAAGTCTGTGGAACCGGAGACTGTCGTCGATTCAGCTGTCAAGTTGAGCAGACTAGATTCACTTGTGCACTGTTTGATAATTATTTCCTTATAGAGCAACATTTCCTGAACCTCCCACACCTTTACTTTCATTTCCACAGAAGTCTCCATCTCCATCAGAGCTCCATACGAGGTTGTTCTCCAATTGGTGATGAAACAATGAACATTCAGAGCATGAATTCTGAAGATTTGGATGACAGCACACAAATAAAATCCATTCTCATGATCATTGTATACTGTGTTTTAGTGTTTTATGGGTCACTGTCCCACAGCAAACAAAAGAAACATTACATGATGTAGTAAACAGCCAAGCACAACATAACACTCTTTGTCTCTCTCGGTCCACAGGGGGTTCATTTTCACAGTATTCATTTTGTTCCACATTAATTTCACTCATCTAGTATAATTATGTGGTTTTGTTTCATTATTACAGTGTTTACTTTTTTCTTTATTTACCCTGCAATGTGAAAATTTGAAAACATTTTAACATATAAGGGGTACGTTTAAATACAGTGGTGTGAATAAGTGTTGGCACCATGCTAAAGTTGCCTAAAAAGAGGAATAAAAAAATCATCTTTTGGATATTGATCTTAATGCCTGAATTAGAAAAATGAGGAAAACTCCAACCTTTAAAGACACACATTTTCTTTGTGAATGAATAATGTATCATAAATAAATAAATGTTTTTCCTTAAAATACAGGGTGCATAAGTCAGTAACTATGTTAAATTCCCATAGAGTCAGGCAGATTTTTATTTTTAAAAGCCAGTTATTTCATGGATTCAGGATAATATGCATCCTGATAAAGTTCCCTTGGCCTTTGGAATTAAAATATCCCCACATCATCACACACCTTCCACCACACCTTGAAATTGGCATGGGGTACTTTCCATAAGATCATGTTTCAATGCAAATCAAACCAGCTAGGCTAACTGAAGAAAAACCATGCCAATCTCTAGGTGTGGTGGAAGGTGTGTGGTTATGACGCAATCTTTAGCCTATTTTCGCAAAAACAGCTCCTATGGGACCGTAACATAAGATACTAATGGAACCTTTTATTGTTGTGTTTCTTTAGAAATACTTAAAGAAGAACTCCGGCGAACAATGAACCTTTGGTCTCATAAAACATCGGTACACAGTGAACCTTTCTCTGAGATTTGTTTTCATAATCGAATGTAAAGAGTTTTATCTCTAAAAACTGTTAAGCGTATAATGCTAGCCATGGGGGCATTGACTTAATAAGGCTCAAAATAGCCCCACAATAACGCAGTAACATGATGTGACGTTCGGCACCAAGGCTTCGAAGCTTCGATCAAAAAAAACGAAGCATCTCACGTGAAGCACTGTACCGAAGCTTGATTCGTTTTGCCATAACCATGTGATCAGTGACGTCCGAAGCTTCGTTTGGTTTCAACACACAACCACGTGACTGCTTCATATTCTGATTTAAAAATAGTGCAATTGCGCATGTTTCGAGTGTCATTCACAGTTCACAAGCACGTTCACTACCCAGCACTTCACTATTCCACAAAAGTTTTATTTTATTTTGATTATATATGCCTATGAGCCTTGCCTATGAACCATAGACATATACACTAGACCTCACCTGGGGGTTCTAAGCATGCGTCAAAACCGCCACCATCTTGGAACAGGGGTCTTGTCATAGGAAGTAGCTAGGTAACGCTGCTATCTCTGCCTTTACTTCGAATTCATTGATGGTGGCGGACTTTTGTGCAGCGTATGATGTTCACGGATGAAATCTGAACTAGGAAGAATGTTTTTTTTTTTTTAATAATAAAAAAATCTTTCTGGAATCAATGATAAATACATGTCTGACCATTGGAACAAACCAAAAAAACAAGAAAAATCGCATTCATGATGATTTATGGTGATTTTATTTGCGTTAGACCTGTCTACTACATTGACGCTGATGCATTAAAGTGGAGGGGCTCCCCTGTTTCAAGATGGTGGCAGTGGCACTATTGACGCATTCGTTCCAATGAACTGCCGTATCCAAGGTCTATGCCTATGAACTCATAAGGTGTAGGACTACTGCTAAAGTTTTAATGCTGCATTGTTGAACAGAGTTAATTTGTCCTATGTATTATTTCATAAATTAATTCATAGACTCATTCATACATTGTGTAAAAATCAACTCTAACACTGATGATTTTTATAATTGCTTTGTGGTTTTCATAGCACAAAGTGATTTATTACATAAAACAATACAAAAAAATTGGCAAAGGTAGCTTTTCCACCTTTTGACCACAAGATGTCGTTAGTGTGCACCGTGTTGAAAAGCTTTGAGTAATGAACCAATTTACGATACACTTGAGGCGAAAGCCTCAGTGCTTCAGAAAGCTTCATTTCACCATCAATACATAATGAGGCTCCATACATGGAAAACGAAGCATTGAGAACTTTGTAAGTGTACAGACCGTTTAATAAGAAGATACTTTATGAAGACAGTTCACTTCGCGTACAGACAGGAGCCATCTTAACAAAAAGTCTCGATAAGTCAAACCACGAACGCCGTGTTGAGTGATCTGAACTGTATGAAGTTCAGCGAACCTCTGAACTGTATGAGCGGCGTTCGGGGATCGACTTATCGAGACTATTTTTTAAGATGGCTCCTGTCTGTACGCGAAGTGAACTGTCTTCATAAAGTATCTTCTTATTAAACGGTATGTAGCCTACACTTACAAAGTTCTCAATGCTTCGTTTTGCACGTATGTAGCCTCATTATGTTACTGCGTTAGTGATAAGTGAACTTAAAAATGCAATTTTTTCAGCTGAGTGTATTTTCTTAGCCCTCCCTTTTGAATGCAAAATTACTTGACAAAAAATTACATCCTGAGAAACGTGGATTTTTGGGGGTGAAACCCCATTGACTCCCATTCATTCTGCACTCGACCGCGAGCGCCCCCGCATGGACAGAGACGTGTTACTGCAGCCAGTCCGCTGTGTCCCAATGTGAAGGCTGCGTACTTCGAAGGCTGTAGACTTCGAAGGATGCTTCATGTAGCCTTCGTGGGATTTCCTAATTGCACAACCAGGTGTTCCCTATTACTGCTCCTGGCGCCAGGCAAAGGAGCGAGAGTAGCCTACAGCTGCCACCCTGATCATTCATTTAATGAAACTGAGTAAACAGCTATGGAGACAGGCTATTGTCATTTTGTTGTTTTATATTTTACTGGAAATTTTATGTTTTATATTTTCCTGTCTTTAAATGAGGGGCAATATATATAAAATCACATAATTTCAATTCACATAGGCTAACCACTAAAAAATATTTCGAGTCATGTATTTTCGGCTCAAGAGTTGGCCAGAGCTGGTTTAATGCTAGAGGCTGCGTCCTGAATAGTCAGATTACACTGTAAACTGTTCAAATATTGAATGTTAACCTACGTAAATATTGTAATGAAATAGCCTAAAAAAAATAATAATGATAAAACATAGGCACATATAGGCCTATAGGCCTATATGTAATAACATGTGATGTAATAACATAGGTAATAACATATATGTATATATATGTATATAACATAGGCCTATATTCAAATGTTAATCGTACCTTGATGCGATTTAACAGGGTTTTCTTTTTATTGTCTAAATGGACCATGGTGAATATATTTATACAGGCTGTCAATCCTATTTGAATATTTTAAACCAGTTGGATATAAAAAGTCCAGTGCAAACGTCGTTACTCCCGCTCGTCGTCGTCAGCTGTCAGTCACAGTTGCTAGGCGACAAGAACAATCCTCCGCAGGCTAGACCGGTCCGAGCGCTTCAGGTGCGCACTTTGATATGGGACGAAGTTGAAGTTAGCAACAATTTGTTAATATTGTGACAATGGACCAACAATTTGTTACTTTAATTTTTAAAATAACCACGGAGTCTGGGAGAATGTAAGGAACTTCATACTAGTATTCATGTACAAATGTGAAGTAGCCTACTTTTTTCCCTCACAGCAACACTGGGGAAGCTGCTTTTAAATACTTTGGCGTCCATCTCTGGAATCAGCTTCCAGATAACATTAAAAACGCTCCAACCATTACAATTTTTAAAAATAGATTAAAGTTTTTTTCAGATGCTTTTTCCAGTTAATGCGTGACAAATAAATGTATTTATTTTATTTTATTTTTATTGTATTTTTGATAAATGTGTATTTATGTATGTGTTGTGTGGCTACATTGAATCTTAATTGTTTATATTATACTGTGTGAAGCGCATTGTATTGCTGCTGTGTATGAAATGCGCTATACAAATAAAATTGCCTTGCCTTGCCATGGCGCCAAATAATTTGGAGCGTGCCTAAATGGGCGTGGCATAGGCCTATAAATATCACTCATTTCGGCCAATTCATCAGGTTTAAATCGACTGAAGCGACACACCTGACTAACGTAACCAAGTATGTTCCCTTTCGAGAACGGTCACTTCGTATTGGGTAGCTAATACGCAGTGGGGACGCAATGTAAAATGCCGCACATTAGCAATTTGGCTGTAAGCCTGGAGCCTAGGGAAGCATCCCCAAGGCTCAACAGAACAAGCCATTAGAGTTGGGGAGGAGAGAGAGTGATGAGATGAGGTGATGAGACACAACTGAGAGCGAATGTGATAATGTGTGTAAATGGATGTAATAAAGACTGTGACCAGAAAAGGGCGGAAGAGTGTAAGAGAAGAATACTAGGATCATGACAATATGAAAAAGGAACATAAAAAAGTTCAAGCATTTGCAAACAATGTACTGTGGACACAAATGGACTTTTATCTTAACTTTATTGCTTTATTCTGAAACAGTATAAATCAGTTAGGCCTATATCAACAATATCTGGGGAAAGCTGAAAAGGAATTCAGTACATACACCATAATCTTTAAGTGCCTGTATATCTCTTTACAAAAATAATTATTTACAAAATCATAAAGCTGTTTTACACAAAAAAAGAAAGTTTTTTTTTTTTTAGGTTAATAAGTCACCTTGTTTCAATGTATAAAGCTTAATAAAGAAACTAGAACTCCTTATCCTAAAACAAATTTTTTTTTCTTTCTTTTTTTTGTAAAACAGCTTTATGGTTTTGTGAAGAGTTATGTTTGTATACCGGCACTTAAAATAAAGTTCATGATGAATGTACTGAATTTCTTCTCAGCTCTTCCCAGAGTACAGATCCATGTCTTGTATTCCTTCACTTATTTTGATGAGTTAAAGCAATGTAAAAATATATGTTGTCATAACTTATTGATCATCCCGTTTTTAAAAGTGCATGTACATTCTACATAGGTTCTACATAAGTTATACTTGTCCATGAATGTTTTCCCCTATGCCAAGTCTATATGCATTTAAGGGTTGATGGTGAGAATTGGACCCTCAAAATAACATTCCTATCCCTTGACAAAATGGATTTTTCATGTGTTATTAGGTCCACGTGATCCATGATTGATGATTTAAAACTCAGTCCGCAAAGAGTTTCCAAATTTCTTCCAGGTCATCATCATCGTCCATTGGTGTAGGAGAAATCACGTTTGGGATCTCAGGCCCAATACCTGCAGAGGCATGAGAATGGGCTTTATGCCAGCTCCTTGTTTCTTGTCTGCCATTATTGGCCAAATTGATTAATTCAGGGCTGTCTGATTATTGTCGCCGTGAATACTGAGGTCAGGCACACCTGAATTAATCAATTTGGCCAATAATGGCAGACAGGAAACAAGGAGCTGGCTTAAGTTCAGGAAGTAGTGCAGCTGTGCATAAAGAAATGATGACTCAGAAATGATGAAGATTCCCTTTCAGTCGGTCACGAAATTGGGATCTCGCTTGCGAGACCAACCTCTTCGAGTGTAACTAAACGAGCCAATGAACATTGACATGCAAACTTACACACGCTCCGCTCTGCCCCGCCATGCAGTTATAAATAAGTTGCCTCGCATATTTGCCTTTTGCTTCGGACCCGTTCTTATGTGTTCAGCTCTGCTATCTTTACAGAGTGTGTCTGAGCTCTCATATGTCACAGCCAACGCCGACAACGCTGTTCACACCAACACCAATGAGAGGCATCGGGAGTGACAGACTGAAAGGGTTACATATGCTAGCTCTTGTTCCCTGAAGGAGGGAACCCGTCACGTCCCGTCGCCATGTTTGCTATATACCATCGCTGCAGCTGGGTGACTGGCTCAGCTTCTTAGCGAAAACCAAATATGCGAGGAATCAGCTTACTTTTCTATACGCGCATGGCTGGGCGGAGCGTTGGATGTTTTTTAGCATGGCTTTAGAAAATATTCACATTTTCATGCTATTTTATTGGTGTTTTCAACATTGGTGTTTTCAAAAACTTATATAATATGCATTGTAACACTTTGTATTGCTATAGCATTAAACACTGCATAATTTGCTTTAAAAGGAAGTAAGCTTATCTGAGGAAATCTTTGCATGTCAGGAGTTCAAATGTATTCACATAGCATTCACATAATACTCACCTGCTTGTTCTCTTGGTCTCTTTCTGAGTCGGTCAGCTGTGTAACTCAGATATTTTTTTATTTCATTTTCACAGTCAACCCTGATTACACTTCGTCTAAAGGCAGCATCTGAAAAAGTTTGATAGTTTGTAATCTCTACAGGGTCAAATTGGTCTTAAAGTCTTTTAAATATGTTTTACTCGGTCATTTCAATGTGAATAAGACTACTATGGCAAGCCGTTTTGTTTAAAATTTTACCCAGCAACTCTCATCGTAATTGCATTTTTACTAATAAGAATTACAATTAGAGAGCTCTCTAATCCAATTATTACTAACAATTACTATTAGAAAGCTCTCTAATTACATTTTTACAAGTAAGAATGCAATTACAGAGCTCTCTAATTACATTTTTACAAGTACATTTAAAAAAAATACGTATAATTGCAGATTTTTTCAATTAAATTAAAGAGCTCTGTAATTGCATTCTTACTAGAAACAAATGAATTAGAGAGCTATCTAATTGAATTCTTAATAGTAAAAATGCAATTACGACGAGTAAATCTGACTGGGACTAAATATACGTGAAATACAAATGTTGTTGTGAGGGAGGTGTTCATGCAGCAATGACTTTACCTCTGATTACATCTGCTAAAATAAGCTTAGAGAAGGGCTTTTTATCTCCTCTCCCCTGCCAGTTGAACTCCTTTGCCAGGTCATCTGTTAGGACGCGCTGCATAATATTCTTAATCACATCCCTGGTCCCAAAACCTCCAAGACTTGACAGATGTTGTACCTGTGACGAAAATACTTTTGATATTTGATTCTTACACGGCATTGATCAAATATGTATAATGACCACTAAACTGTACTGTTACAGTAATGGTCTTCTTTTTCTTAGAAGCTTTCAACTTTTCTACCTAAAAGCTTTCAAGGTAAACAAAAATAATCATTTTGACTCAGTATATCTTGATCTATTTAATTGTTTGTTTGTTTGTCTGTTTTGTTAAGGGTCAAGTAACATTCCAGTAGGGATTATTTTGTGAACAAACATAACCAGATAAGTGTACAGTATACCTTAAAATGTTTTATAAATGCTGCGTCGACTTACCATTTTTTTGCGTGATGCTGCAGTGTTGAGCTCCCTTTCAATCTTGTTCACATCTTCAAAGGTTTTAAGAGGCAGATTTAGGTTTGTTTTAACCTCTTTATTTGGCACGCTGGTACTGCTGCTGGGGACTTCCGAATCTGTGTTGTCTTTCAGTAGTTTCTTTAACATGGCAGAGTTTTCCTGAACCATACTTTTGATTTCTCTCAGCATTTGGAGGAGCTCATCCTTGTCTGTTGTGTAAAATAAGTTGCGCTGTAATTACAAAAGTGAAAAGAAAAACATTCTCAAACTGATTTTTGACAAAAATAGTTGACTCACCATCTGTCCTGGATGCAGGTGGTACTGGAGGAAATGTTTGTAACTGATTTTTTAACATTCCTACAGTATTTTCAAGTCTTTGTCTTTTTAGTATTCCAAAGGTGGTTTTTGACCTTTATTTAAAAATAAGCAAAACACAACAGAACAAATAGGTTATTTAACCATTTCAAAGGTCAAACCTTTTGGGGAAAAAATGTTGTTGGAAACAAAATTTATATTACCGTTCTTGTTGTTGTTTCATTTCTCTTTGCTCTTCTTTTGCATTGTCAAATTTGACTGCAGTAAGATAAAGATTTCATTACATTACTTGAGAACTTAACAGACAGATATAATTCAAACAGTTCTTTAAAAATTTTAATCACCAAATTCAGTGTGAAAGCTAATATTTAATTTCTCCCATGTTTTTCCTCCTGTTTCAGGTTTAAGTCTGTTCTGAACAGCTTCCATGAACTTCTCCGTTGATTTGAATGGGGGCCAGTAACATTGTTTATTGTCTGGGCTCAACCAGTTTGATGCGACCACCATCACCTCATCTGAGTCTTGCAAGGTAACAACCGCATACATGATCTGCCCATCAAAAAAAAAAAAGAAGAAGAGAAAAAACAAATGTGCATAATTAGCTGATATACTATAAATTGTAGAACTGAAAATTAAGATCATCTGGTGAAAATGGAGGTTCTGACATTGAAACAGCCCTTTTGTCAGTTGCCTCTTTCCTTTTTACAGTCTAAGTACAGCACTGCAGCGAACGACATGAGTCTAATAACACCAAAAAACTCCTTCCTCCAGCACAACACACACTCCAACACAAACTCAACATAAATATAAAAAACAAAACAAAAACGTATTTGCTGAAGCTCGTCAGGCCAAACGTGAATCGAAACGACTTCGGATGAAAACACGGATCAATATTGGTAGAGCGTTTGAATTATGGAGAGACTTCCGCTATTTTTTCTCAGTGTGGTCGTCGTGTACCATGAGTGCTCGCTCTCAATGTGTAAAAATTGGTTGCAATCTGAAACCTCAACGATAGAGGCCGCTAAAAAATACATAGAGCACCTTTAATATAGACTGGTAGGGTTAGAGTTAGAATAAGTTGACATGCACTCGCATCTCAAACATGCCTAGTATCTCATGCACATGCAAAAGTTTTTTGGAGCATGCGATACATTTCTCGTGCCACGATAGTCTTTATTTACTTTTTTTTTTTTGGAAAATGTCCTTTTTAGGGACTCCATAGAAATTGTATTTCTGTGAATGGCATTTTACACATTTGTAATTGCTTGAAATTCAGCATAGGCTTACTGGTTTGTGACTATTGTCTGCGAGTGCAAATTTCAACATTCAACTTCAGATTTTTATTTTACAGGTTTTCACTTTGGAGCTGTGAGCATAAACGTTCACATCCAAGTACGAATATTTATAGTACAGTTTATCAAATTCACATCTTCATGCTCTCAACAATGCTGTTGTATTTCTTTGGATTGGTAAACTATTTATTGACATTTTTAAGCATCATAATAATTTGAAGGAAAGTTACCTTATATCTTTACATATAAAGTCTGTTTGGTACCGGAGACTGTCGTCGATGCAGCCGTCAAGTTGAGCAGACTAGATATAGCCTATACATGTCCTGAACCTGCCACACTTTCACTTTCATTTCTACATAAGTGTGCCGAATAAAATAAGTTTCTATTTCTGAAAAAAAAAAAAAAAAGCAGAAAGGAAATATCACATTGTTGTCGGTTTATATGTTTCCAGAGTTCCTTGCGATGATATTCTGCAATTGTTGATGAAGCAATGAATTTGAGCATGAATTATCAACATTTTGGATTACAGGACACAAATAAAATGATCTTTTTTTTAATGATAATTGTATGTTGTATTTTTGTGTATTTTATGGGCATTGTCCCACAGCAAACAAAATAAATATTACATGATGTAGGGAACAGCCGAGCACAACATAACACTTTTTGACTTTCTCAGTTTGTGAAAATACAAAAGTCTAATAGAAATGTGGTTTTGATTCATTATAACATTGTTTACTTTTTTCTTTATTTTCCCACGAAAAATGGAAGAGAAATATGACAACTTGCCTCAGAGGCAAGAGGCAGGGGCACATTTTAACCCATGAGGGGCTTTTTGTAACATGACATATGACAGCTTAAAACTTTATCTGATCTAATGAAAAAAAAAAAATATATATATATATATATACAAGACAAAGTCAAATATTTTGGGAATAAATTAATTAACTTTTTAAAATAAAATAATGAAGTTCCCTTTCGAGGGTAATTCATATATGCCACCTACGTCACTACCAAATTGAACACCGCCATATTTACGAGTCGTGAGAGTATGGTGTTGTCTGTCACTTGTTAGACAGGTTATTATGTGTATGTTACACCCACAATTGCCACGTTCTGTTTTACCACGTGTTAAGATTGTTACAGAACCCTGCCTGGTCTAATTGTAATTATAGGTGTAACATCTGCAGTGTTGTATGTTGAGGAGCTCAAACATAAACCAACTCACTCAAACACAAGGGAGCTAACGATAACAAGGGGAGGGGCATGTTTTCGAGGAAACAAACAAGGATAACCATGGTAACAGACAAGGTAGCGAGCACAAACAGAAGGTGAAAAAGTCTTCAACATAAAAGTCCCAAACTGTACAGTACTGAGTTCGTTACAACAGGTATAGTAATTAACATTTACATGGACAAAACATTTTTCTAATTTTTGAATAGATGCTGTTGAAATGTACAATATGGACATATTAATCTAAAATGTAAACATTAAATGTGTTTGCAGCAATAGAAACAGATTATATTTACAAATCTTTTTTGTGATTTGTTTATTTACATGTTTCTCATGTTTTCTCAATAGAATTCATAAAAGTGTAGAATATAACCGCATTTCTAATAGGGGCACATTGTAGTGTTACTGGTTTAAACCCTGCTAGTGTCTTCTGCTAGTTAGCGAAGCATTAAAGAACTATATCAACTGATAAACAACAGATTGGAGATTAAAATAATATCTGATTTGTCTAATTTTAAATAAACACAAAAAATAGAGATGAAAAATTAACTTAAGTAATAAATGTACTTTTGCGATGGTTGAATTAATGTTCAGTGATATCTTACAAAGATTTTGGAATTTTTGCACAATTATTTCTCTATATAGTGTTGAAATGGCAACTAGTAAATACACCAAGTTTCGTCATGCTAGCATGTGTGGAAGTATTTAAAACAAGCGTGTTACAACTAGCAATGCGTTACATTGTACCCCGCGCTCCTCTGCAACATGTTTCTGAATCCTGATCCTGGAACAACATTGTAATCACCCAATCAGATTTGAGGGTTTTTAAGTTTACAGTTTATGTCAAGTTTAGAAGGTAACTCATCAGCCGGAAAGTGAAGCCACCCTGGGGGACCCTATTGGTTATCAAGCCATCACCTGCTGTTAGCATTTCATTAATTGACTCCCATTAATTTTGGCGTCACTTTGACAGCGAATAACTTTACATCTGAGTCGTTTAAAGGCTCCATTTGTCCATTGTTTATTTCTAAAGAAACATGGCAATATATAAAAGGCTCCATTTCCTTGTATCTTACGTTATGGCCCTGTAGCAGTTTTTGTAAAAGTAGACTAACGATTGCGTCATAACCGTTGAAATTACCGTATAGACCATAGACTGTAAAAATATTGACAAGGCCCCTTCGCTCTCTTCCATTGGCAAGAAGTGAAGCCGCCAATGTCCCGATATGCCGCTGACATCTTGGAACTTGAGTCTGCGCAGTATCGATTTCGGGACCAGACATGTGCAGTAATAAAATCAAGGCCCGGCCCTCACTCTCGCTGAATCAATCGCAATCACACGCCCCCTACACTTTTTTTAAGTGGCCTCTGTCTGATCCGTTGCTTTTAACGAGGCTTGTTGTCTTTTAGCTAGCTGGCCCTTAACATTTATTTACTAATTAGCTTATAAATTGAACTTACCGAAAAAAACTCGGACATGCCAGATCGGTTAGCACATTACTGCTGAACAACCCATTATGTCGGAGTGAAATAATTAATTATAGAAATTTAGATATTTAATTTAAAGCTCCAATCTCCTCAGTCCTCCGAAGATCCCGAAAAAAAGTCTGTTGGTGCTTCAGTGACTTCTTCGTTGAGAGAACATGTCAATCATGACGTAACAGCATCGTTTTTACAGCATCACATAACTAACTAAAAACAAACTTAATTTAAAACAAACACTTGAAATTACATCAGCGTGATAAAAACTACAGTAAATGACAGAAACTATCTTTGGAAAAAAGATATGTGAAGTGTAATTGAATTGTTTAGTTGGTCTCACGTCCCGTTGAATAACATGGGGAGGCGTGGTTTATGATCTATACTAGGAGCAGTCTAGGAGCAGTGGAGTCATAAAGTCAAGGGAGAAGCCCATAGAGAGTCATAAAGTTGCACCTACATTATCAGTCAAGTTTTATAGATATTTTGGGAGGTTTTAAAACAATTTTGATTAAATCGAAAATCAGTTCAGCTGTTTCCAAGTAATGTTGAAACATACATTTGTATAAACAGTGGGTTTTTTTTAAGGGAAGAAATGTATTTTAGTTAAGGATCAAATTGTTGACACTTAAAACAAATGGAAGCAAAGTTCAAACTGTGAACAAATAAGTTTATTTGATGACAAAAATTGTTAGTAACTCAGTATGTATTTTTAATAATGATATTTGTAATCAGCATGTTTTGCTTTCAAAAAATACAAACCCTATAAAATATGCATACAAAAAATAACTAATGACACACCATCAAATTAAAAAAAAAATAATAATAATAAATCAGCATAAAAAACTGAACAGGCATTTGTCAGCATTGTGTTTGGCCAGCTATTCAACTTCTGTGCGTGCTGAAAAAATATAATAGTCTACTTCATTTATTGTACTTAATTGAACTATAAATAGGGATGAAGTACACTTGATTTTTACACTTTAATATTAAAATGTTACTCTAACCTGTTGATTATAATAAAAAGGTTAATTATTTGTACAGTCTGCGAATTTGTACATCATCAGTTCCCCTGAGGACTGTAATGTCATCCAATAGTCACATGTTTGGCATCTTTGTAAAAAAAAAAAGGCAAAAGCAGGGTGAATATTATATGCAAATACACTGAATAAAATTATGTCTTTTTCTTATTGATGTAACAATGAAAAAGACAGAAATAGCCTATAGATTAAAAACTATTTAAAAATTGCATGCATTTGAGTTGTTTGTTATACATGCTAAAACCACTATTATACACCTGAAAACCTGTCCATGCATGCAGGTATATACCACAGTCAAACAGATTCTCCAGTTTGTAATTATTTCCTCAGTTATCTAAGGAGAAATTAGAGTTATAGCTTTAAAAATCAAAACAGAAACATTGTAAGCATTTTATCACCGGAACCAATATTTGGAGCACATAATATCATGCTAGTTTATAGCCTATAGTTTTATACAAAATGAATGTTTAATCTGCAAGCAGTTAAGTTTACATGACATATGAGTAAATGTTCCAATACTCGTCAAGAAAAGACATTCCAATCTCTGACTGGAAGGCACTGTAAGTCAAGGAAGTTTCTGAAGTCACACCTGCAGGGGAAGAAGGTGTTTATACGAAGTGCACAATGATGTTTAAACAACTGAAGGCGGGTTTCTTAACGACCCAGACTAAAAAACCATAGAAGACATCATCTCACTTGCTCATAATATCATTATTACTCACCTCCTCAAACTCTACATCTCTTCCGACCAATTTGATCAATTCATTGCCATATATATTTTTTTATTTCAGTTTCACAGTCTTCCCTCGTTACACCGTGTTTTGATGCAGCTTCTGAAATAAGAAACTCGAAGAATGAATTGGAAACATGTTGAATAGTCATTCATACTCATAACTGCTCTTGTACACTTTTAGGATCAAATTTGCAGACATCACAGAGTTCATCAACTGATTTAATTTGGAAACAGACAAAACATAGGCTAAGTAAAATACAAACTCTCTTAGAATGAGGGAAGTGTTCATGCAGCAGTGAGTTTACAGTACCTCGAATTACATCTATTAAAATAGCCAGTTGAGAGAAGGGCCTTTTATCTCCTCTCCCCTGCCAGTTGAACTCCTTAGCCAGATCATCTGTTAGGACTTGCTTCATAATATTCTTAATCACATCCTTGGGCCCAACACCTCCAAGCCTTGACAGATATTGTAAAGAAAATGCATTTTCACTTTATTTTGGTGGTCCCTTTAACACGTTCCATAGACTATAAGTAACATTGCACCTACATGTCAAATAACTCTCATTTGAGTGTTAATAGAGTATTAGTAAACTGGTAGGGTTAGGGCTACCCTATCTCACGACCAGTTCGTACGAATTCATACGAGTGATTCAAAAGTGGCTAATTCGTACTAATTCATACGATCTCACTCGTACGAATTTGTACATTTGTCTAAACCCACGTGACGGTTATGTTTAGGGGCGGGGTCAGGGGTAGGTCATTCGTAATATGTACGATTTAGCAAAATCGTACTAATTCGTATGAGTGAGGTTGTACGAATTGTTACGAATTGGCCACCTCGTAAAATCCGTACGAATT